GGAAAGAAAATAGAAGGGACAAGGGGAGAGCTAAGTAGAGTTGGCGGCTGTAGGGGATTGAAAAACAGAAACCAGAGAGAGGTGAGGAAAGGGGACGGCTGAGAAAGGAAAAAATACAGAAGAGGAACAACAGGGAGGTTTGGATGTGAGCCGAGAGCAGGAAAGGAGAGCTCGGAGTTGCAGTCAAGAGAGCAAGAAAAGGGCAAGCTTTGAGAGTGGGTCGGAGACAGAAGGAAAACCAGAATTTGAGGGTTAGAAAGAGACGAGAGGAAAACTGGGGAGGCTACCACCTGAAGCAACAAACCTGAGCAAAGGGCTGGTAGAGAGCAAGGAGAGCCGCTGGAATTGCTAACCTTCACGCCACCAGCAGAGGTGGATCTTCATCAAGAAAGCCTGAGTACTGTAAGTAGTTCCTCTCCTTTAGATCCCAGTATCTCTTTGAATAATGTTTCGTGATTTTGCTTATGGAAAGATCACTGCTTTGGTTGTCTACTCTTCCGCCCCTTTTGTTTCATGTTCACAAGAGTTTGTTTCTTCGTTTGTGAGTAAAAAGGTCCAGTCTTCGTGGAAACCTAAAACCATCAGCTTCGCATTTTTCTTTCCAAGACCAAATAGATGTGTTCCGTGGATTCTTTTGGTGATCTTTGATGTTTCCCAAGTTTTTAAATTTTGACGGTTTGGGTACGTTTGAATACTTGTAGCTGTCAAAACTTGTTGCTGTCGCGTGAGACTGCTAAATGTTAAGGCATCAGATAAGCTTTAGAAATTTGCTAAGGTCGCATGGTTTCCCTTCTGATTTTCGTGTGGGAAAGTAGAAAGCATGTTTGGTTCATACTGGAGTGTTTGGTTGCTTGAAGTTTGTACTCTCTTTGGCGTTCGGTTGGCATGATAGTGGGCTGTGGGCATGCTTGCCGTGAGTGTCATTACGCCTCTGCTGAAATTTTACGTTCAGTTGCGTTATGAAGCTACCAATGCTTGTAGTGTTTTCTTCATGCTTGAAATCTCGGGTGCCTCTTGCTGTTCTGTGCTTTGGGTCATCTCTACCGCTTTAATCTATCCATGAAATGTTTTAACATTGGAATTTGTTAAGATGACATTTGGAATTCTTGGTTGAATGATGGAAAGCTGCATTTCGTTCTTATTTTTTTGATGTTCTTCCTTCTTCACGCAACAACCGACAAAGTTGGACTTTCATCATCTTGTTTGCATACTCCATCTTGTGTCAATAAAGGTTGTAAAAGAGTTAATGAAGCGTGAGTTGTATTTAAACTTTTGCCATCTTGTTGAGTTGCTCAAGAGGATTGCAGAAGAGCAATTTCAGCCTGCCGAAATCTATTGCAGAAAGTCTCTTTAGCTGCTGCATTGTTTTTGATTTAGTAGAAAGCTTTGCCTGAATTCTTGTTTGCATGAAAGTTTTCCAGGAATCCTCCCTCTCCCCTCTCCCTGGTTTCATGTGCTTGCATTTTAAATGCATTGAATCATCTCCTGGTTACTGGCATGAAGAATTGCTGCAAGTCCTCACGTTGCCTGATGCATTTTATCCATGCTGCCTGTTGTTATGCTGTCTTCATTCCCTTTGCTCCTGTTGGTTTGCTTGCTCAAGTAGCTGTTTCTTGGGTTTCGGTAGAGCTTGGTTGATTGCTCAAAAGCCTGTTTGAGGTTGTTTTGGTCTGGATTGGTTGTCTGAGATCTATTTTTTTTTGCAATTGAATGGTGAGTTATGATATATGTTTGCTGCCATTTAAAAGCAGAAATGTGCGGCATTCAAATTTTATCTACTTTAGTTCCTTTTTGGTTGTTTGGCAGTAAGGTATAGTTTGTTGAAGCTTGTGTTTCTTGGCAGTAACTCTGAGTTCACTTGGTAATTGAAATGCTCAATGTCGTCAAGAAATATTGAATGATATGATAGCCGGTCTTGTCTGATTTTTCGTATGGAATATTTTGCATAAGAGTTACAAAAAGTAAAAGCCTTCATCAAAGGCTTCAGTTTTCTCATTGCAGAAAAGAAGGATTTCTACGTAGCTTGCATACATGATTGCATTCCAAAACAATTGCACTTTAACTCCCCAAGTTTTCCCTTATTCTACTATGGCCCAAACATTTGGGAAAATCAATCAAATTGGCCCCCTTTAACTTCTTTAATTGCTTCAATTGGGTCCTTGTTTGTTTCAATTTAATGAATAGGAGCTGTCTAGTTTACTTGAACGCTTTGAGTGATTCAATTTCCATTTCATTAATTATTTTGAGATGCCTTGACCTTTTCTTTTATTTTGGAGGGTAAATAAGTAATTTCACTCCATTAGGGCTCCAACTCAAGGAGGTACACCCTATCCCTTATTCTCACTTTATTTTGACCGTATGTGCTTATGTGATTTATGTGATTAATTACATGCCTTTTGAATGTCTTCGTTTTATTTATTTATTTATTATTTACTTTATTTGTTCTAGTTTTGAATAGTTATTTTTAATCTCGATCATTTGGAAGGCACTTGAATTCCAAGTTGTAATAGTTAGGTTTATTTCATTTATTTTCCGTTTCCCCTTTTAGATTGTAGTAGGCCTTCCCCCCTAAAAATGTAATAGTTAGGGCCTTAATTGCCTTATGTGTCTTGCATGCTTTGTTGCTACGTGTTAATTTGCTTTATTAGGCTCTTGCATCTAGTCGAGCATGCTAAGTGTTATGTGTTATGTGTTTATAGGTGATTGGCATGTCTACTTGCTTTCTATAGTCATAGATGAATATGATGGATGAATGCACGTCACCACACTAGTCCAACGCTAGTTGTGGCTCATTGTCCCGTTTTCCACTAGTCCAACGCTAGTAGGAATTCATAGATATGGGCTAGTCCAATGCTAGACCCAATAGGCCGTCCCCTCTCGTTAGTACATACTTGCATGTTTCACTACATTTCATACATTTTTTCTTAGTTTTTTAGCATTTGGCACGCTCCTCCAATCCTTTCCCCTTCATTTTAGGTTTTTGCATCTTCATGCTAGTTATAGGGTACATTTGCTTGAGAGTCCCCTTTAGATAAGGGAAACGAGCGAGTGTGACTACAAAATAGCCTTAGCACGCTAGTTCTTCCTTCTAATCAAAGGGAAAATTAAAGTCATGAAGTTAGGAGTCATTCCCGTACCCGACTTGATGCATTCCTATAGGTTCATACACTTTCATTCTCATCATGTCACTCCCTCACCCTCTTATCCATATTTTCTCACTACTTATATCATTCTCAATACAAATGCCATGTTCACACATTTTTCTTCTTGTCACTTGTTTTTCTACCTCACAAATTGCACCCAATTGCACTTATATGTATCTACTATCATATTTCCATCCATTTGCACACAAACACCTTTATTTTCCCAATTTGCACACATGCACTTGTCTTACATTCGCACACATGCACGTTTTCTTACATTTTCACACTTGCACTCATATTTGAGTCTTCATTTGCATCATTCGCGACCTCTATGAGGACTTTGCTTATTGGCCACCACAACTCATGTGGTTGGGACCAAAAAGCCGCGTAAGAGACATTTTAGATTTAGGATTGCATTTCTTTTTCATATCCATTAGTCATATCCAACATGCAACGCATATTTTGGATAGAAGAATTAGGAAACGTGGGGCTAAATCGCGCAACTAGCTTTGGCTAGGGTAAGGGAGTGCCTTAGGCTTTGCCTTTGCCTTCTCCCTTATCAAATGTGACCCCCGATCCCTTTCTTTGGTTACGTAGACCTAAAAGTTCTTAAAAAGGGGTTTGTTTACTTTGCTTTTCAAAAAATTCATTTTGGGTGACTTGGTACACCCTAACTCTATACCAAGTGGCGACTCCATTTTCCATGCAAAAAACCCTTTTTGAACTTTGTTTGGCCAAATCGTCGCATTTTCAAGTCCCACGGCCTTTTATTTTCATTTTCACACACATTCACATACATATTCCACACACTACTTTCACACACTCAAAAAGTGGGGCGCGACAATTAATGTTTTCGAAAATTGAATTGAGCTAGGTTAGAAAAAAAAGTAAGATTCCCCATGGCATTTAGTGGTATAATAACTCAGGTTATAGGATCTGGAAATAGGTACGATGCTATTTTAGATTTGAGATTTGAGAGAAATAAGAGATTTCGTTACCAATTACAAACACAGTGGGCAGGAACCCATATATTGAGGTAATGATTACTTTGTGTGATAGTAGATAAGTATGTTGTTATAGAATGTGTGACAAAAGAAGAAATCGTACTATTAGGATTTATGGCATCCTTTCTATAGGTTGATCTCTATGGAGCATTATAAGCTGAGATACTGGATTTGTGAGAGATATTCTGTTCACCTGAGCTATAAAAAATAAAGATGGGTGATATTGAGAAAAATAAGGTGCGCAGCAAAAGCTCGATGGAATTAAATAAGGAAATCCAATTTAGACATTGTAGGAATAATTCCCAAGATGTATTGCAAGAACATTGGGAATTTTGTCAACTTATCTTGATATTTATGTCTTTTAGGTTTCGAGGGCGAAACCTTTAAAAGGGGAGAGAATGTGATATCTAGTCTAAAAATGAATTGTGGAAGTAGTGTCAGATTAGGATCTTAAATTCACGTCTAGATTTTAGTCGACCTACCAAGAGATTATAGGGATTGATACCTAAGACTAAATACCGTCTTCCAACCCAAAATGAATGGATAGTCAGAAAGGATCGTACAGACATTGGAGGACATGCTAAGAACTTGTGTTCTAGACTTCTCGGATAGTTGGGATAGGTTGGTGAAACTAATGGATTTTTTGTACAATAATAACTATCATAGCGGGATAGGTATGGCACCATTTGAAGCGCTGTATGGGCGAAATGTATATCTCTTGTATCAGAATGAAGTAGGTGAGAAGCTGATCACTGGGCCCGATTTGGTGAAAAGAACTTTGGAGAAAATTAAGATTATTCGGGGAAGATTAAAAGTAGCTCAAGACCGAAACAAGAGTTGGGCGGATTAAAAAATGAGACCTTTAGCGTTTCAACAGGAAGAAAATGTATATTTGAAAGTATCCCCTACCAAGGGAATGATGAGATTTGGAAGAAGTGGCAAGTTAAATCCGAGATATGTAGGGCCTTACGAAATACTTGATAGAGTTGGATCTCTAGCGTATCGACTGGCTCTCCCACCTGCTTTATCAGGGAAACATAATGTTTTTCATGTCTCCCAACTGAGGAAGTATGTATCAGACCCGAGCCATATTTTGAAGGATCAACCCATCGAGGTGAGGGAGAATTTATTAGTGGAGGAAGTTCCTTTAAGAATCGTGGATCGGAAGGACCAAGTTCTAAGGAGAAGGACCATACCCTACGTAAAGGTGCAATGGACGAATCATACACCGCGAGAGGCAATATGGGAGTTAGAGGAGGACATGCGGAATCGATACCCATATCTTTTTGAACAAGGTACGTAAGTTTCGAGGACGAAACTTTTTGTAACGGGGTAGAATGTGAAACCCACATTTTTTGGCCCCTGTTTTTATTATTTTATTTTGCCAATTAATTAACAAGGTAAAATTACTATAGGTAAAAAGGAAAAAAAAATGAATAAGATAAAATAACTATGGATGGGATAAGGGTTCCTAGTAAACTAAAACTCTTATCTACACCACCTACTAGTGGGTAGTGCTAGGGTTTACGATTTTATTGAAACCCTAGAAAGAAAAATAACACATCCCTACCTTTCTTTCGTCTACCTCCCCTAGAGCAGAAACCGTCAGAGAGTAGAGAAAAAGAAACAGGCGTCGCCGTCAATCAATCAAACGACTAGGCACCCGAACCTGTAAGTCCCAAATTCATGCAAAACTTCTCTTTTTAGTTCTATTAGTTGCATTAATGGTCCTTGAGATTTTATGGATATATATTATTGTTACCAAATTGATATATACATTTCTATTAGAGATTTAGGAGGATTCATGTTTGGATTAGTAGGAATAGGATAATAGATTATAATCTTGGGATGAATAGGTTACCCAATTCTGTTAAAGGAAAAAAAAAAATGGAGAAGGAGGAAGGCTCTGTTGTTGCAGCAGTGCAATAGAGAAAAAAAAAGAAAACAAGGGGGAAAAGTGCGGGCAGCCATCTCTGGCGGCAGAGAAAAGAATTGCAAGGTTGGCCTTTCGGCCAACCCAAGACCCAAAAGGAAAGAGCAGCGGCAGCTGCCGCTGCTCTGTTGTTGCCGCAGTGCAATAGAGAAAAAAAAAAAGAAAACAAGGGGGAAAAGTGGGGCAGCCGTCACTGGCGGCAAAGAAAAGAATTGCAAGGTTGGCCTTTCGGCCAACCCAAGACCCAAAAGGAAAAAAAAAATTTAAAGAGACAATAGGCAAGGCAATAGTTGGCTGAAACCAATAGAGAACAATGGGTCGCCAGAAAGACTTTCTGGCGATCATGGCCAAAGATGGTTGGCCTTTGGGCCAACCATGGGTCCCACCCAAGGAAGAGAAAAAAAAATTAAAAAGAAGGGAGCAATTTGGATGTGGACCAAAATATAATGTAAAATTAATAAATGTCTAAGAAATAAATTATAATTATAATTAGTTCATTTTTTATAGTTTATCATCAGTATAAAAATTCAGGACCCAATTTAAAGTAATGGTTAGAATTGAAGGGTTAGTCATGTAAAATTATACTTAGTTAATTACGTATAAGATATTTAAATGGGAATCTAAAAAATCTTATTCTAGCCGTATTAAGTCAGATTAGACAAGGTAAGATAAGTGCTAAATTGTTAAACGAAATGTTTAAAATCATAATAATGATAATAATAATGCTAATAATAATACAAAAAGGATAATAAAAAAAATAATAAAAATATAATAATAATAGTAAATAATAATTATTAGACAATAATAGTAAGGTATTAACAATATGGGCATGGAGGAAATAAAGTAAGGATATAAACGAACGTAAGAATATAAATACGAGTGGAATAAACTAATACAATAATAATGGTGATAAGCCAATATATATATATGTACATGTGTACATAGATAATAATAGCACCTACACACGCATAAAAGTGAAAATAAAAAGGAAAAGTAATAGTAACTAATTAACACATATATATAAGTGGTAATAAAATATAGTAGCGACGACGAGGACGATAATAATAATAATGAATAATTATCTTCTTTTAAATTAGGAAACTTTACAAAAAGGAGAACCTTCCCCATTAAGAAACTTTCTAAAAATAAAACACTTTCTAAATTAGAAACTTTCCAAGAATAGAAATCGTCCAATTTAGGGAAACGCCATTTGATACGAGTCAAGCTATGCCATCGGATAAGGTTCAAGTCCCACTAGGACTGGTTACACGAGCTCGAGCAGTTCATTCAGCTTCACCGCAGCAAAGACGTTATAAGGCACAGACACGCTTTATAAGGATACGTCTTCTGCCATTTAATCGATTCACCATAGCAAAGTCATTATAAGGTGTGGGCACGCTTTATAAGCTCAAGTCGTCTGCCCATCTAGTCACATTTGCTATTTTAGTTAAGTCGTTTGTAATAAGGGCTTAATGGTCCATAGCCTTGCTTTATTTACCTAAGCGATGACCTCATAAGGTTATTTACCTAAGCGATGACCTCATAAGGTTGTTTACCTAAGGGATGACCTCATAAGGTTGTTTACCTAAGGGATGACCTCATTCTTAGTCTTATGGAAATAGTCAAGCCTACAATTGTTAGTCTTAGTCAAGACCACAACTCTAGACTAGTTCCACATTTAGTTGTTCATCTCTATGTAAGGCTATAAATAGCCCACACTTCCAATGGTTTTGGCATTCAATCAATAAATCAGATTTTGAGAGTTTTCTTGGTTTCTCCAAGGCTTCTTGAATACCTTAGAATTTCTCTAGGTGTTCGTGACTTATCAATCTAGAATCGCACTAGGTTGTGGCGTCTTCTACCATTATACCAAGGTTCGTTAACCACGTGATTAACGGGTTGAGGTCATCCGCTCCAAACTTGGTGTCCTCTTGTCGATCCTGAAACTAATCTTTTACGGGTTTCGTCACAAGGTTGGCGACGTTCGTATCAGTTGGTATCAGAGCTAGTTAAGAGGTATCACGTTATATCCCTTTATTTATTTCCTTTCGAGTCAAGTTGTCCAAAATTCTGTTTTCGTGTTCTAAGTTTGCTATCCGCAATTTTCAGATTTGTTGCATCGTGTTCTTGCGTTATTTTTCCAGATGTGTTGCATCATAAACTTGCGTCTAGTTGTTGTTAATTGCTGTGGTTAGCCTTGTTTAGTCCAGCCTTTTTTTTTGTGTCTTATTCTTGATTCTTTGTTTGTGTTTGTGTCTTGTTTCTATCCTGTTATATCCATTCAATTCCAGTCTTTTGTTCTATTTGATCATTCGAGGTTACTGTTCATCCGAAAAAAAATCAAGTTTGTAGCAAGGGTTTTAGAGTCCTATCTCATTACCTTGTGTTCTTGTTTACATACAAAAAAAAATAGCTAGCTAACCTTACAAAAATTCCTGGAAATCTGTCTTGATCAAAACTTGGGTTTCTTGAAGTTCCTGATTGTTTAAAACCACAATCTTGAAGTTCTTGGAACTTTAGTTGGGATTCTTGAAGCCAACCAAAATCTGTCTTGATCAAATCGTGAAATCTTGGATTGTTTGGGGAGGAAATCATCTTCAATTTTGTGTTTCTTGAATTCTGGAGATTAACATCTTGAATTCTTGAAAGAATCTTGAAGTTTCTGGGTTTTGGGAACCAAATCTTGGTAAACAACAAGGCTGCAAAATTTCAGCTGCCAAAATCCTTGTCTTCACCACAACAATCTTCTTTCTTGACTAAGAACATTTTAGCCACGAAATTTGACTCTTCTTGGCTGATTAGAAAACAAAAAAAAAAAAAAGGAAGAAGAAGAATATTCAGCCTATTCAAGTCAAATTTCCCAACCTATTCAGTCAAATTTTCTAACCTGTTCAAGTCAAATTTTCCACCCTTGTTCCCAAAAACAACCAAATCAGTTCCAATCTTGACCTTGACCTTAGAATTCATAGGAACTAGCAAATAGGAAGACTAATCCTTGTTTCCAAAGAATTAAGGAAGAAAAGTCAGCCTTGGGTTTCCAAAAAAAAAATCCCACCGCAACACAAATTCCTTTTCCATTCAGATTCCATCTTTGTAACCGTTGGGGAATTTCTAATTCTGGAAATTTTCGTGCATCATTAGGTCAGTTTTAAGTGTCTTTCTGAATCCTCTAAGTGTCCATTTACCTACCAAAACACTGACCAGAAATGTAGCAACCAGCAGCTCAAAATTCCAGTTTTGGGTAGAGTTTTGTCTAGGATTCTTAAAATTCAACTTTGAGTCATTCATTGAGTCGTAGTCAGTCCCTTCATCTTTTGTTTTTTTTTTTTCGTTCAAAGTGCTACAATCTTGTGACCCTGGTTGGTAAGTCGATCCATACTAAAGGAGTTCTAACTTCTTCGAGGAGTTGACCGAGGAGCCTTGAAAACACCTTGGTAAGTTTATTAGAGTGTTTTAAACACTTGAGTGATACACGAGTGACGAGTGTAAACATGTGAGCTTGTGTGGTGAGGAAAAATATCTTTTGTTTCACTAAATTTTTGCAGGTTTCCTCAATACATCATGGCGAATACGAGGCATTTAAAAGCTAGCTTACAACATCTTCTTCCTGATCCTAAGGGAGTCGAAGAAGTGGCATTACGTGGTGTAAATGAGCAGTTGGACATCGTCAAATCTCAGTTGCATTGTTGGTTTTATACTCGTTGTGGTGTCAAAGATAAAACATGCAGCTTGGCCATTGATAGGAGTTGTGAAGTCAATCTTGCAAGCGCTATCATGGTTCACAAATTAAATCTTCCAACCATTTATCATCTTCAACCGTATAAGTTGTCGAGTGCTCATGGTGATGTTTGGGTTACTAAACACACACTTGTACCTATTCAAATTGGCAAATATGTGGATGAGGTGTTGTGTGATGTAGTCCCAATTCAAGTGACACATGTGTTGCTAGGTAAAGCGTGGATGTTGAGGCGAGAAGTTAAATATGATAGACATACTAATAAGTATTCCTTCTTATTTAATGGTCGTCGTTCTGCACTTGTACCACTTATTTATGACCAACTTTGTATTGATCTAGCATACATGAGAAGTGAACATGAGCGTTATAGTATGAAGAAAGAGCTAGATGAGGGAATTGTGACTGATGAGGTAAAATCTGAGGGAGTTGAAAAGGAGAAAGAGGCTAAGAATAATGAGAGGAAAAAGACAGCTATTGAGCATGAGAAAGAGATTGAAAAATCCAAAGTGTTGACTGAGGAAGCGAAAGAAAGAAGGGATAATGCACTGATTTTAAGTTTCAACAAAAATGAGAGTGAGGGGACTTATTGCCATTCTAACAACCTTAACATTGCTCTGTCTAGTGTT